TAATTTTATCTATAGATGTAGATAGTCGGGAAGAACACATAGGCTACACTTTTGTTTTTTTTTTAATACCACGGGACGAGACGGGACGGGCACGCGGGCGAAAGATAGTGTACTAATATTAATAATCTTACTTCTTACTAATATTATAAATGCAAAAGTTTAGATAAATGTTTGTTAAAGATTGTAGTCTGCTAAACATATCTCACTTAAATTTGGCATAGACTTAGAAGATAGTCTGTAAGAACACATAGGTTAATTACTTTTGTTTTTTATTTTCCTCACGGACAAAGTCGGGGGTAAAAACTTTAAAAGTATAAACGTAAATTATGCTAAAATTTCCTAAAATGTTTAAATAACTAACTTTTTGTATTAACCTATATTGTATTTTACTAATTAAGTACCTCGAGCAAAATATTCCGAATATTTTCGAGTCTTATGCCTATACCTATGAGATGCTGGCATCTGTGAGATTCCAACTCGAATGCTAATAATTCCACAGAATATGCTGCATTGAATGCATTTTGCTGAGTTGGCTGACTTTAACATGGCTTTCATAATTGAGATTTTCAAGCAAAGCACAGTGAAATTTTTATAATTTCGTGAATTTTTACAATTTATTGTTTTGCTGACCGTTTTATTAAAACAGTAGAATAGATAAGTAATAAAATTACATACTAACATTTTTCATATGTACATAATTTACCCGACGTTCTTACGGTGAAGGAAAACATCGTGTAACATGCACATATCGGCGAAGAAATTCAAAGATATGTGTGTACAAGCCTTGTCACCCTAATTGAGGGGAGACTCCGAGCCTATTCTTACCATACTTCTATGGGCGTCACAGCCATGTTATACTTTAATAAAATATAGTCTTCATTACCTCTTATGTTTTCTTCCAATTTGCACAGAACAACCTTACCAATATGGCCGTCGTGTCGTCGAGCTAATGCAACACCTTTATTTTTGACATCCGACTACTATCCGATTATTAACATAACAAGCACAATTACGACATTTTAAAACCATGATAAATATTTTAAATAATGTTTTCGATCACCATTACAAAGCTTATATCGTTATTTCAAATTATGACCAACGGTATTGATTTATAGCACAGACTAAATAACCTTTAAGAATAAGGAATATATTAAATTAGTTAAAAAAACTAATACTTCTTACTTTAATATTATTAGTACAAGTTAGACCGAGTATATCAGTAGCCAATGTCTCCAGAAAGGCTTGACGGATGTCAATAAAATTTAGTAGAGATGTGAAAGTCCTTGTGAAAGTCGCGGGTAAAACTAGTCGCATACAAAATGTGGTTTAGACATTCCATGACACAAAATTATCTACTTTTAAGGTGTCTTAAGTAGTACCATTGTAGGGCGAGGTGATCACCCTGGGTGCTGGTAATGCTAACCAGCGATTTATCTTTCATCATCACCAGCTGACTATAGGTCTCCACCGAGGGTCTCGTAGCCTGCTCTTAATTAGGGTAGTCACCCTATGGCCTAGTCAGGCCATAGTTAACCACGCTGGCCCACTGCGGGTTGGTTGACTTCACACATATCTTTGAATTTCTTCCCCGATATGTGTAAGCTGCATTATGATGTTTTCCTTCACCGTAAGAACGTCGGGTAAATTATGTACATATGAAAATTCGATTTTTCGACATAACTTTTCATTGGTACATGGCGCGATTCGAACCCAAGACCCCGTGGGTTACGAGTCAAGTGCTTAAACCACTGAGTCTCCGACTCTGTATCTTAAACTTGATTGATCCATAGTTCTACATTATTTAAATTGATTCGTTAATCCATTTTATATCAAATATAAACTACCCGAGCATTCATAATTATTATAACCTCAGATTGAGCAAACATCAGTACTTCTAAAAGGTTCAAAATGCCGTGAACCCTTTCAATTTACCTATCAAGTTTAGTTTATAATCCGATAGATTGAATTCGCTTTATTATTTAAGCCATTCAAATATTAACAATATTGTTTCCAAAGTAAGCTGACAATAGAAAGTTTGGATAGAGTTAAACAATTGATCAATCTCGGTCAAAGGTTTTGTGGACGTCTTTTGTTTTGTTTCTAGGTGTACAACTGAGGCCACACACCGTCAGTTTTGGTGCGGTTAATTGGCTTAATATCTCATGTATATTTTTATATTTAAAATTATACTGGTGAGGAAAGATTAGTACGTTTGGTTTTTTGTATGTATTGAAATAACACAAAAACTACTGGGTCGATTTTAAAATTCTTTCACCATTGAAATGGACTATATTTAAGTCCCTTTCTCTTTACCCCCCTTTTCTTATAAAGAGAGGATGGGAAGGGGAAGTGGATTTGACGTAGAACGAGATGCATAGGAAGGGGAAATATCCTCTTTATGTGCATCTCCTCCTCTGTCGGATAAGAGTAGGCAACGCATCTGCAATTGCGGATGTCTATGGGCAGCGGTTGCTTCGCCATTTTTGGCGGATTCAAGTGGCCGCTTGCTCGTTTGCTACCTTATGTTATAAAAAAAAACATGGTAGAATTCTCAAATAAAGCTATATTATAACATACTAGACTTTCTGTTGCTTGCGTCTTCGCCCGCGCGCAATTAAAAATTGAATTTAATATAGCTTATGTTTCTCAGTGATAACGTAGTTATTTATTGGTTAAAGAATATTTAATATCGGTGATTTTTGAGTACATACAAAAATAAAACTATTTTCTCTTTATAATATTAGTATAACATACTTACATACATATATAGATTATCCAAACGTAAACTATGAGAATGTAAGACTTCATTGTTAATGTAAAGTTCATTCACACTATTCATAACTGAAAGCTTTTAGCAAACAATGAAAGGTTGTTCATTTAGGTCCGAGGGTCACTTCCGACCTTAAATTTTATTGTATTAGCTTCAGTAACTAAACATTTAGATAATTTAAACAAATTTATTTAGTACAAACTGTTCCCGTGCGTCTTCATCCGCAAGAAATTACGAAAGTTTTATTTTATTGTTTACATCTGTCAAATTATCAATTACAAATGTCAGAATGACATGACATGATGACAACCTTGCTTGATGTTGGCAGCAACTTATGGTCTCTTTCAAACATTAGGGTTTTTATCTAAAATATTGACCCCTAAGTTTAATGGCGTTAAAATATATAGCCTAAAACGTGACGCAAGTGTAGGACTTTTTATTAAAGAAATAATTATTCAAAAATATGCTGTAATTGCTGAGATCTTAGGCAACAAAGAAGTGTGTGTTTACGCTTTATTATAATAGTATAGATAGTATTATTAGTAACCAACCCGCACTTGGCCAGCGTGGTTGACTATGGCCTAGTCACCCTAACTTTAGGGTAGGCTCCGAGCCCCTCGGTGGGGACGTATAGTGAGCTGGTGATGATGATGATAGATAGTATTGATAAAACTGAATACCATATTATTATTTTTGTTAACTACTATCATCCTGCCTTTTTTACATTATTCAGAATACTTTTTCACATGTCTTCATGTGAATTAACTCCCTTCTTACGCATATCCTCTTTCACACGATCAACCTACCAACACTAAATAACACTAGGTCCATGTCCAACTAAATTGTAAATTATCAACAATGCAACGTGTAAAATGTTTGATGAATATATCGGATTTTGTTCCCTTATCTGACACTCTGAACCTCTACCAGCCAGTGGGGACAGGCTCTAAGAGTGGGCGCACACCTTTGAATAAACTTTTGCATATATGTTGTTCGATTGTCGATTGTTTCGCAGCTAATTCAAGTGTTTATTTGCACAACTAAAAATCTAGTAGTGTGCACACCTCCATATAAGGTAATAGGAATCAAAGAGAGACTAAACAGTTGTGCGATGATTTAGTTCCAGATGTGCGCGCTCGCACAATGTGCATACATTGAATGTTAGTATAATATTAATTAAAAGGAATATAAAGATTCCCAACGACCCTTTTATGGCCTTGTTTAATGTTATGGGCAATTAACTTGATATTGACGCCGTAAGCCTGTCCCTTATAACCTCTTAAGATATTTAGGTTGTGGTTAAATGTAATATGAACAAAGTAATAATTAGTAATAATTTAAGCATGAAAGATGAAGCGCTATTGATAAAAAAATAATGTACTTGACAAGGCGAAAGGATTGATACTTTTTAAACGATTAAAGTTACTGGCCAGTAACAATTTTGAGTACTGGCTGAATGTGCATCGGGCAAGATGATGTCAGGACGATCGAATGACTGATGACAGTTGTCATTGAATGGTGGATTGATTTTTTTATTACAAAATCAATTAGTTAATCTCTGTAAATGTTTGAAATCCGATTAGATTGTGTTGTGCAGTTTTCATTTAAGTTGGTGATCAACTAAGGATGGTGTTGCTAATGTTACGCGATTGTTTTTTCTTTATTTCCGATACGTACGCCTACAATGGAAGATCGTTACAGTGTATATAATCTGCCTTCGGAATAAATTCTGCAAACCGCTCGTAACTCCGATATACTAATAAAAAGAAAAATAACTTAAATGAAATCTTACTAACACTTTATTGTTAACTCCAAGTATAAAATGAAAGTGTGTTGATAACAACAAAAAAGCTTGATACTTAGTAAAGCTTTGAGACTTTAATGTGTTCCAACAGAAAGCTTTCGCTGCAACCGGGGACTAACAAAAGATTTAAGTCAACCACTAAAGGTGAGCCACTGACCGTGGGGAATATTTAAAAAGATTCGCTCAAATACGCTATGCTAAAACAACTTTGAATTTTTTATCATTACAGTCAAAGAATTTTATTTGGTGCCCACTTACGATTGAATATCTAAATTGACTATCATAATAAAATCTGTTAAGAAAATGTGTGAATTTTAACAAATATTTATTTAGCATTAAATAATTTAATTTAATTGGGTATGAAATATACGTCCTTGACTGTATAAATATGAGAAGAGTGTAATGACATCACAATAAAACAAAAGATAATCTTCATGTCGGTAAAAACCGTTTGCTTTTATTATAATACATTCTGTAATCAAACCATAAAACAAAGCCAGTCGTTAGTTTTCCGTTCTTAGAGTAGATGAATCATTAATTAGTTTCCTTGAATATTCACGCCGCTGGTTTCTCGTTTGACACAGCTGTGACGTTTGACGCAACCGAGTCAACTTCGTCTGACGTCGCTTGACAGGAAAGGGATGGGAACTTCTTGTACAGAGCAGCTCGATATCGTGGATGACTGGAATAAGTTTAAATTAAATGAGATCAAGCGTCAATAACACATTTCCTTTTCTTTGTGATCTAACCATCTCCCTTGTTATAGATAAATGGTCAGAAACGTCGTTAGTTATGTTGCTATTGACTTTAATCTGTCACAGGGTTTAAATCAAAATCTGACCAAAGACTTGCTAGTGCAGAGGTGGCGAACCTTTAAATATCGTTACATACATCATAATATACCTACATAACACTTTTTTGTACTGTATAATGAATTTGTGATTAGAACTGCCCAAAATATTGTACCGTTCTATTGGTTTTCCATCCCTGTACTAGTGTGTCTACACCATTAGATATGTAATCTTAACTTTTATATTTCTCGTTGGCAAATTTTGCATCACACATTGTTTTATATAATTGTTGTAATGATCTATTACTCACCTAATACCGTATACAATAGGATTGTAGACAGCATTAGCTTTAGCGAAGAGAGAGCCCCAGATGGTGGCGAGCGGGCTGATCGGCGCGCTCTCGAAGATGCCGGTGAAATTAATGATCAAATACGGAGTCCACGCCAGGAACCAAAGAGAAATGGTCATTAGTGCAACCTGTGAAATAATAAAATAATTATCTAACTCACAGCTCAACTCGACTATTGTTTAGTCTCGCTTTGATTCCTATGACCTTCATGGAGGTGCGCATACAATTCGATTTTTAGTTATGCAACTAAATAGTTGATGTAACTACGAAACAATTGACAATCGCACAACAGTTGTGCGAAAGTCAAACCTCTAAGCACACACATCTTGCTTTTCCTTTGCTTTCTAAATTATCCATCTCAGTAGTAGTATTACCTTAGCTAATTTACATTCAGCACTAGTGTTTGCGGACTCCGATGATCTTAAAGAAGCGACATTCATTTTCTTAGCTTGTTCCCTCATTGATTTTTCATGAGCGGCAACGGCCTTGAATAAACAATTAGAAAGTAATATTATAATATTAGTAAAAGAGCAAAAAAAACTTGTAAAAGCCAAGGGTTCTCGCGGAAGATCAGCGTTGGTACTTCAATAGGAGCATCCAGTATTTATAGCTGAGCGAGGGTTAGCATTGCAACGCTAATTTTAAATATTCCTTTTTCTTTTTTTTTCATTTCATTAGTTATGTTTCTCATTATTTTGTGTTTATTATTTTTTTTTCATAATTGTAGTGTTGACAAAGGATTAAACATTATTTTAATTATTTTTTTTTTATTTTTAAAAAGACCGTTTAAAATTACATACCTTAACAATGAAATAATATGAGTAGATAATCAGCAACAAGGGGGCAAAGTAAACGAAGAATCCATAAACAGCAATGTAACTGCGACTGAACCAATCTTTAGTTAAATAGTCGGTACCACACGCAGTCATGTTACCTTCTGGGACATATCTGTAAAATATTAAAACTGTTAAGCAACTAAGATCATGAAAAATAAAATTAAATGTAGGAATAAACAATTATAATCTAAATGAAAGTCAAAAAATGGAACATAACATCTATAGAAAGGGTTATTTTGACTGAGATTGGACCTTTTTTCTAGGATTCTAGAAAGATCTATTAGAGTGGAGCTTCACAAATTTTATAATTAATGTTGCTGATTCATTTTTTTTTATCACACATCACCTGTTCCATCCAAACAGAGGCGCTAATGTCCAAGCCAATGAAGCAAACCATACGAATAGAATCCGTAATAAAGCTCCCTTCTTTGTCATCGGCTCAGCGGCTATTCCCTTGACGATGACGTTGTAGCGATCGAAAGCAATCATAGTCATCGTCCAGATAGATATGCAGCCGAACAATGAACCAGCGCAACCATATAATTCACAGGCAAAAGGACCTGTACAATAATATGTTAGTAAATTTCAAAATATTTCTATTGAACCAAAATACTTGAATCCTTGAGCCAATAAAAGAAAGAACACAGGTATGATGATATAAGGAGTATAGAAACAAAATTAATTAAGGTAAATGAATATATTTCTGTCAAAGATTACCATCAGTCGCATTTGATGATAATCAAATAAGTGTTTAATACTGAAAATTAAAGTTTGAAATTACAAGAATTTAATGTCACTTACCAAATACCCAGGTCTCGTAATAACAATTGATAACCATAGCAGGTGACATTGTAAACATCATTAGGAAATCAGAAAAGGCTAGATTTACTACAAGTAAATTTGATGGTGTCCTCAGATTCTGCAATAATTAATTTAATATTACATTTTGTTTCATCATCATCATCAGCCTTTCGTCTGCCCACTATAGGACATAGGCCTTCCCCAATGTCTTCCACAGAATGGAGTACTCCGCCTTCCGCATCCAACGACTTAAGCCGTGCGCAATAATCCGTCGTCGTCTTTTGTTTGCAATTGAATAAATAACTAATATCACTGTAGTTAACTAAGTAACGTTTAATTACTGCAACTACCAATTTCCCCTTGATTTAAAATTAAAAAGTTTTTCTCGATTCGCTAAATAAATTAGATAGCTGCATCCAATGTTTTAATACTCAAACAATAAAACAACTGAGGAAATTCTCTAGATAATTTTTGTGTTTTATTTTACAATAGCAATTAACGTTGTTTCCTAGCTTCAATTACGTTATTAAAAACAATTTATGTTATTTTAATATTACCTTTGTTGATGAGAAAATGTAGATGACCATACCGTTGCCGACCATTGAAATGAAGCCGAGTACGCCAATTGTAAAACCCAATAGACCGTGCCAAAGGGGATTCATTGGTGGAAATTGGAACCTTAAAATAAACAGATAGATGTTAATAAATTTAATTCTTACAATAACGTTGTATTTGCATTTATTTGTCAGGAGATGTACTGTTATTTGTTACTGGCTGTTGGTGTACCTTACTGGCGATTAAACTATGAATGTAAGCGGTTAAGCATTAGATATGCGTATAAACCTTACCAGTGGGGATCGACCAGATGTAACATTTCCTGCGGCACTTTGTCGACGACCGTTTGATTGCTCACGCCATACGCCGACATCTGGCCACTCCATTCTTGTAGCGTCATTGTGATGGACTTAAATTAAAAATAATACAATTTATTTACCAAAAACAAAAACAAAATTTACAAAATGTATTACTATAATAGGAAGGGAAACAAAACACAGTCTTTGTCTTTAAGAGTTTTAGAAGCAATATGAAAAAAATCTCTTCGCCACAGCATCAGAAATCTATATTAATAAAAATAAAGATATAATTGACTTTGCATTAGGTACTTTAGCGTATACGGCAATGTGTTCTGAGGCTGTCAAAAAGGTTTATGATTAAAATAACCATAGATTTTTTTAAATTACTTTAGGTGGAACTACACCACATAAAGTTGCAGCGATTAAAAACAATAAAGAAGAAACTCACGTTAGTGTAATGGCTTTCAAAAAAGTCGTGGAGAAAAACAATATTATGAACTACTCCAGACTAATTCGCTACCTCCTGATGGAGCGAGGCTGATCACACTACTCACTGTACCTCAATAACTGCTCGCTTTTATAATAACAAGCTAAGGATTAAAATTAGGGTAAGTAAAAATCGATATTCATAATAAGATATGTTAATACCCAAGGTGAAGTTTCGTATTCTAACTTACTTAACTAACCAGCTTTAGCTTAAGATTATAAGTTATATTTTGAATATTATATTTATGAAATTGAAACTCATTACTGGAATAACTTCTTTTAAACCTGATATTGTTTGTAGTGGATATTATCAAAGAAATTGCTGTCTTAGTCTGTCAGTCTTTTTCTTCAATGATCATCTTCAGGAAAGTAAGGAGTATTAAGTATATCCTCTGCGTCCCTTCTGTCTTTTGAAGATCAACACATCTGCAAATGCTGAAGCGACTGTTACCCACGCAACAGTCGTATTGCTATTTTGTCGAATTATAGTACCAATTTGCACGTTTGTTACTTTATACTAATAAAAATAGAAAAGGTTGGTAGGTGTTGATGAAAAAAAGTTATTATCCAATTTACTCCTAGGCCTTAGTGATCTCCGGTGCGTTCCACTGGAGATCCTGGGACCCTCAATTCGCACCTGAGGGCGGTCACCGAGGGGTTTTTTTTTCTTCTTCTTCTTCTTAAAGTGCCTCTCCGACTAGCGAAGGTTGGCGGTCAGTTCTCCAAATTTGACCTTGTCTCTTGAAATCGTGGTTACGCAACATGCGAGAGTGGACAGGAATTGCGAGTGCCGCCCAACTGTTTCGCCTCGCAAGAGACAAGGGGGTTTTTAGTGAGTAGAAATTTCACATAACCCTGTCTTTTACAAAAGACAGGGTATCTTTTGAAGATTTCCCCCCGTTACCAAAAAAAAGGCCTTAGTGATTGCTTTCTACAGTATGTTGTCTTTTCTTACCAAAATATGGGGAATTAATTAAGTAATTCATCTTTTATTAGAAGTTGGTGAATGACGTTGATCTAAGCACATTGTTCATAAGAGACTTTTATTTTATAAACATAAATTACTACACAATATAGACAACTAAGGAAAAATTACATTGAAAGCGCTAACTTTGCTCACCGCAAAGTTTAATTCTAAATCCATCTTCAAGTTTCTATACTCATAACGGCGCTTTAAAGCGCTTTATTCAACAGTAAGACATCAGCTTATCTAATACAACGTTCATTAAGACGCAGCGCTGCAAATCCACAGGCGTTCAATAAAGCGTGTAATGCATACCGCTACTGCACGTGTCGCTGCTCTGTAAGTATCCAGGTAGTTTAGGGCCACGAAATAGACGGTTATTTAAAATTAATGATTCTAGTAACAAATAAAATTGCGTATTTGTAAGAATTTAACCAGCATATTCCAAAAATCTCTTTCAAATTATACATTTGTTGCAAACAACTCTTTAAAAAGGAGTTTTTAGTATTTTTGACAGATGATGTGATTACTGTATGCGTTGTAATTCTTAACGTGGGTTTCCACTGAAAACACCTATAACACCTGTTAAAACTTCCTAAACACTTGAAAGACTGAGATATCAATAGGGTTTCGTACTCGTGTTTTAACTTTAAAAACTAATGAATGTTTATGGAAAAAAGGTTTTTATTATGAATTATTAATTTCGTTAATTACTTTTCTTTTTGATAAATCTCGTATAGTTATTTCTTTTATATCGTTAACATTATCATCGGAAATAACGTAAATAAAAGGCGTCAAAAAGTTGCATAAATTTTAAATAGTTTCGTGGCTCAACCTCTTACAAGCGATCCGCATTCTAGTTCCTAAGGTATTGTTTTTACTCGAGCAATCTGTCGGAGGCACGCCCTGCGATCGAAATCTGCACAGGATAGGCTTCCATTACTTGAATACCTATTCTCTTCGCTAGATTCTGGTGTATTCGAAGTGCAAAATCTATTGTTTCCTCTTTGTTTCATTTTCTTAACTAAAATTTAAACTTTGCTTTACAAAAGGCACCAACAAATTGAATTTAAACATTTTTATAAAGTTCTTGGGTTAGCGAACAATTTTCGATTTTTAGAGCGGGCGCACACATTTGACTAAACCATCGCACAACTGTTTAGTCGCGCTTTGAATTCTATGAGCTTATATGAAGGTGCGCACACTACTCGATTACAACTAAACGGTTGAATGAGCAGCGAAAAAATCGACAATCGCAGAACAGTTGGGGTATAGTTTGATCAAAGGTTTGCGCCCGCTTTAAGTGTGAATTAATATTTTTTTGATTAAATTTAGAACAAATTAAAACAATTTAATGTTTTGATTATTCAGAGAAAACATGATAAAAAAATACATTTAATCAATTTATATAAAACCTCTTCTTGCTTCATCCTCTACACTTCAATATACGAGACAGGCGTGAAATGGAAGCAATTCCGTGTTTCGTCTGATGACTGTGGTGCCTAATTTAAGTCCCTTTCTCTTTACCACCCTTTTCTTATAAGGAGAGGATGGGAAGTGAAAGTGGATTTGACGGTGGAGGAGATGCATAGGAAGGGGAAATATCTTCTTTATCTGTGTCTCCTACTTCGTCGTATAAGGGTAGGCAACGCCTTTGCAATTGCGGATGTCTATGGGCAGCGGTCGCTCCGCCATTTTGGCGGATTTAGGTGGCTTGCTCGTTTGCCACCTTATGTTATAAAAAAAAATCTTCGAGTAGTAAACAGAAAACTGTAAGTGAACTGCAAGGAAATCAGAAAGCGGAGTCAACTTTGCTGAAGATTGTTGTTTTAAACACCTAAGACTAACGAGTGGAATATTTTTCACGTAAGTAGACCCTTGAAGATTGAAGTACAAGACTTAATTTATCATTATCTTCCCTACCTTATCCTACTCCCGTAAGGTTTGCGTAAGTGGTTTCGGTTCTCTAGAATCATCCGTTATCTCAGTCATCTCTCCCTTCTCGATCATGTCACCTTTCACGCAATCTCTTTCTTTGTCTACCTCTACCGGTGTACGTCCAAACAAATGACTAACGCCTTTCTTGTTACATCCTCATATCATACCCATACCATGATAACCTTTCACTCTTTACGCGACTTAATTTATGCATTGCGTCAATAGTGACATGATCAAGGCAATAACGACTGAGAAAACGGAATACACATCTGTATGGGGGACAAAAACCAGCACTGACCTTACCTGAGTGGAATAAAGACAAGAATGGACTAAATTAGATTTCGATGAAATTGGATCTCCTAGCACAGATGTAACTGTTCCAGATATGAGATAATGAAATGCAATGTATGGCTCAGACCGCGTGCATAAATCAACGCCACAGATCATCTACATCCGTAGCCTAGAGATGCCTATTGTATGACGTCACTCCAAAAACCGCGCCGCCCGACGCGTGATTTATCGCACGGATGATTACATTGCGCAGCGCGTATGTGATTTATGTGACAACCATATCAACGTCAATGTTGATGGTGCAATGTATTTCAATCATTGCAACGTCACTAATTAGTTATACATATCCTCTAAGTAGCATACTGCGAATTTTATTTGTGAGTTTTTTTATGTGAATTGTTATAATTTCGTACTTAGGTTTGTTTTTAAAGATGACATACTAAAATAAAATTCAGAAATAATTAAAACAAAGACAAAAAGAAGTACCTTTTAATAAACCAAACAATATTAATATTTATAATTTTAAATACATGTAAATACAATGACTTATATAAAAATCGTATTTATAAATTCTTAAACTTAAAAACTTGTAGGAATATTGTACACAGAGACACGGAAGACAGGGGTCAAGTAAAAGTGGTTCTGCGCTTTGTTGTGATCCCCATTCCCTTCCTACCCTTCCCTATGAAAAAAGGGTCGGAAGGAAAGTGTAAATATGAAAATAGATGGACTATTTTCAAAAGATAGGTAATACATCATTTTGACGAATTCAGTTGACAGCACAGGTTGTAAATAACGGCTAACCGCTAACTAAATACCCTTATTCAAGACATCCCAGTACTTTGTTTATGTAACTACGACAATCAGCCCGATGCAGTTTCCCGCTGTGTGTACGAGGTAGTGACGTCACGAACGCAATCCCGCCTCGCAGACGCTTATATTCGCTGAGGGTAGCTTTAACAAGAAACAAGGAAGTTTATACAATTGATACGCAGGTAGTGCCAAGGGTATAAGGGTTTTTAAGAGCGGGCTTATATGTCAATTGCGTGATCTGTAGCGTACAATATCGAAGCCATTTTGATTAAGATATCAATTTAAATTCTACTCCAAAGTGTCATAGTTTAGTATAGCTGCATTGGTAATCAAAATGAATATATGTAGTTTCCTCCAGCTTCATATCTTATACAATCGTTAATTTGAATTTATTCTGTAAGAACGCGCATACTTTTGACCAAACTATCGCATAACTGTTTAGTCTCGCTTTGATTCCTTTTAGCTTTAATAAAGGTGTGCATACAACTCGATTTTTATTTATGCAACTAAACAGTTGAATTGGCTGCGAAACAATCGACAATCGCACAACAGCTGTACCATAGTATAGTCAAAGGTGTGCACCCGATCTAATGGAGTTTGTTAATTTTTTTTATATTCTTCAGATTAGGTAGATCTGACATTGAATGTCGATTATGGACATCTTTTTAATCTTTTTAAATAAGGATTAATGACTTACAATTAACAATATTATTGATATCATTTTCTGATATATCATAGTTTGGCTGCTTAACAACACCAGCCGCGGGGCCTTTGTCAGTCTCGACCACAACGCATTCCTTGACTCCTGCCACACTGCCTATAACAGCTTCCAATTCTTCAGGAGATATCTAAACATCATTGACAATTATTAGCTTCTTCTAATTTGTATAACAAGAATTGATAACAACGCCATCTAGTGAAAATATAAATACAAAAATTTGAAATATTGGTAAAGAGTTTAGCATCGTTAAATTCTTTATTATTATTTAACTTTACGGCTTAATATATTATTTTGTTTGAATTTTACTTGATAATTCAGATATTTGAACCAAAACTTCTGTCTTTCAACAAAGAACATTGTCCCGTCATTGTTTTGGTAGAATATGTCACCAGTTTTCCACCAGCCATCGTTAGATAGACATTCCTCGTACGCTTTAATATTCTTATAATAGCCCTGAAAGAAAGTATTACATTAAAGCAATTAACTAGAGAAAAGAGAAGTAAAAAGAATTAGTAGTCAATACCACCTTTAGCGAGCGTGTGTAGAAGACCTTAAGTCCTCTACACACGCTCAGTTCTATCTGAATGGTCAATAGTTGAGAACTATTCAGTTCATTGTTTTGGCTAAATACGTTACATTTATCTGAACAAACCAAATGTTTTGTTAAAACTGAGCGTGTGTAGCTGGCTTTAAAGGCTGTATACATTACTTAGTTTTAATCTTAAAATAAAAATAAATACACAAACCTGTAACATACATAATTCGCTCCGCAAATATAACTGTCCATGCTCGTTTTGTCCCACTTCCTCACCAGATTCGTTGCACAGCTGCAAAAATAAGACAAAAAAAAAAGACTCGAAGGCCCCGGCGAGATTCGAACTCGCGATCTCCTGTTTACTAGACAGGCGCTTTAACCAACTAAGCCACGGCGCCTTGTATCAATAGACTGAAATTATTGATTATTTCTGAAAACAAAACCCTTTAAAACCAATGCTAATGTATCTGACATTACTAAGATTAAGATTCCACCACTGGCTGATAGAGGCTCAGATAGCCTTAAAATGACGTCACTGTCAGATAAGGGAACAAATTCCAAAATTTCCACCACAAATTTTACACGTTGGATTACAATCAGACAATTTACAATTTAGTGGGACAGGCCCTAAATTATATTAAAATAAATTCATTCAATTGCAATAAGAATTATCATAGATTAAAAAATTCGTCAGTTAAATCCTACAAAAACATGCGTAATAAATATTTTAAACATAACAAATGTGAATAATATTAAACGAAAATATGACTTTCATCAGAAAGAGAAACGTGCCAATGTCAAATTTAAATTTCTATTATACATAAATACAAAAGACGAAATGCTTTAAGGCATAACCTCAATACAATTGAAAGGCTTCTCAACCTAATTTTATTAAAGTATATTCACAATATGAAGGGCTTACTCAGGGCTGTATTAACCATAACAGGCGCCCGAATACGTATCTGGCGCCCAAAAAGTAGAACGTTCATTGGCTGACGCTCCTGCCATATACGGGCGCCTCGGATTGAGATTGAGACTCGGCGCCCAGGCGCCCTTTGTCCTTAGTTAATACATCTGGACTTAAGAGCTTATTCAGGGTCGTATTAACTGTATCAGGCGCCTCAATATGCATTCTAGCGCCTGGCCAATAATAAGTACGGTTATTGGCTGGCTCTCTCGCCACACCTTGGCGCCATTTATATGGTGCCCGGGCGCCCTTTCTCCTTAGTTGATACATCTCTGATCTTACTTTGAGTTTCTAATTGGAACGTTGGGGAAACGACTTTTATACGGATTTGTTACTTTACGGGGCTATAGACACGTTTAGGCAAGCTTTTATTGAAGTACGTGTTGCTTTTGTTGAATAGGAGAAACAATCAACTAAGACCTTGGATTGTTAAAGTTAATTATCCGAAAGAGTACGCGGAATACATTTAGTTTTACAGCTTGATAAGTGTTTGTTCAGTAATCCGATTGTTACGAACGTGTAAATAAAACTAAATAGAGCGGAGACTTCGATACTTTTCTGACCGACTTCCCAAAAGAAGGAGGTATTTTTTATATACAAAAAGGTGGCAAACGAGCAAGCGGCCACCTTAATCCGCCAAAATGGCGAAGCGACCGCTGCCCATAGACATCCGCAATTGCAGATGCGTTGCCTACCCTAAATCGGCGAAGGAGGAGAAGCACATAAAGAGGATATTTCCCCTTCCTATGCGTCTCCTCCACCGTCAAATCCACTTTTCCTTCCCATCGTTTCCTCTTAAGAAAGGGGTGGAAAGGGAAAGGGATTAACATTAGGCCACCGGCACCACACTCATCAGACGAAACGCAGAATTGCTTCCATTTCACGCCTGTCTTCTGTGTGGTCTTGGTATTTCACCGGGCGAGCCGACCCATTCGTGCGAAGATGTTAAAGCGGGCTCTACCACTGTCAAACTTAATTCGTCTGTATGTTTTTTTTTTATGTGTGCGTGCATAACTCCGCCGCTAGTGGACCGAATTTGATAATTCTTTTTTACTAATAGGTATGGACAATATGTTGTCTATATCGTTAAGAATATACAGTTATGTATGTTTGTCTACGCTGGTGTACCGTGGTTACTGTGACCAATTCCATTGTGATATATTTAAGCTTCAAAGTTGAAAGGAATTCAGCTAATTATATGTCTATCTTTAAATACTTCGTCTGGTTTGTTGATTTCTTAAATTGATCTACTGCTGGCATGTTAATTAATGAAGAACAAGAACTGGCAGAACATCTGTCATATGATAGTTATACAAAATATTTACCTTGTATTCAAAAATATTTAAAATCTTTCCGTTAGATTCAAAAGGTGTATCTTTGTCTGGTATGGTGATAAATCCATGGGTTTCAGTTGTACCGTAGCCATTGCAGAGGTTAACATTTTGTGGTAGTTTTCTCTGAAATCATATTTAATTTATTACCACTATATAATTATTTAGATGTTATTTATATTAAAACAAGATAATAATATGAATATCCTGAGAGCATTTGATTAAGAAGGGGTACAAATATTAGCATAGAATTGACAACAACGGTATAAACGCTTATGAAGAAGTTTTAGACAAAAAACCTGTAGAAAGGATCGGGTCTAAGCGATATTATACTTCATACTAATATTATAAATGTGAAAGTTTACATGGATGGATAGATGGATGTTTGTTAGAGTTTGTAGCCTAAACGGCTAAACCGATTTCGATGAAATTTTGTACAAATGTAGAGGATAGTCTGGAAGAACACATATGCTACTTACTTTTCTTTTTTTTTTTAATTTCTCGCGGACGGAGTCGCGGGCGAACGCTAGTGTTGCATAAAAGGTAAAATATTAAAGAAACCAGTGACAATTCATTACAAATGATGCCTCTATATATGAAGAATATAGATAAAAGATAGAATAGATCTATATTTAAGACGAAGATAGATAATGACATAAATACCTTTAAAGATTTCATAATATCCGGGCCTGGTTTAGCTCCAGTTGTTAAAACCGTCTCCAAAGAAGCCAAGTCATCGGTAGAAGCTGCAGTAGCTAAAGTATTCGCAAACGTTGGTCCGAGAAGAGCCCAAGTTGGCTGAAAATAGAAATCATTTTGCTAACAACTCAATATTAAGTGTTGAATATTGATATCTAAGGGATCCCTTATGTAGATGGACTAAGTTTAAAAAACCTAATAAGGATTAATTTAATACTTAGGAAGACACATTCACCTTATCAGTATTAACATCTGATTATAAAACAACAGTGATCATTGAGAAATCTTTAAAAGGACTAGCAATTAAAATTAGCTTTATAAAACTAGATCTTAGCGTATGAGTTATTAAAAAAATACAAATATAACTTGCAGTACAGTTTATTGTTAGATGATATAAGATCTTAGAGACATTCAATGCGTAATTAACGTATAATTTTTTTTTTATAATACAAAGTGGCAAACGAGCTACCGGCCACCTGAATCCACCGAAATTGAAAGCGACCGCTGCCCATAAACATCCGCATGCAGATGCGTTGCCCTCTCTTAATTGACGGAGGAGGAGACGCACATAACGAGGACATTGCCCCTTCCTATGCGTCTCCTCCACCGTCAAATCCACTTTTCCTTCCCATCCTTTACTCTTAAGAAAGGGGTGGAAAGGAAAAGGGATTAACATAAGGCCACCGGCACTACACTCATCAGACAAAACGCAGAATTAATTCCACTTCACGCCTCTTTTCTGTGTGGTCGTGGTATTACACCGGGCGAGCCGGCCTATTTGTGCTAAGATGTTAAAGCGGGCTCTACCACTATTTCAATCTTGGTTTGAACTGAAGAGCCTTTATACAGATAAAACTTAAACCTTACCTCACAATAGATATATAGGAGATTTAATAAAACCATTACCTTATGTTGTCTTATCATTTTAAGGAGACAATCGATGTTTGGTGTAGGGGTCATCAACAATGTTGTCTGGTACACGGGACAGGCGAGCATTAAACTAGTGTGCGTCATCCATTGCGCGGTTGATACCAACATTGCTATGTTCGTCGGTCTAGGAAAACGGCTATGGTGAGTCCTGTAAGTTTTTGTTACATAAGGTCGTTGCGAAAAGAAGCAAATATTTAAGGAAATATCTGGTAATTAATTTGAAAGTAATATTTATGAGATAATTTGATGAATGATTTTAATAAAAATAAATTACATTATCTTTTGTTCAATTAATTATATCCATTAAGTTTTTATTAACTTGACGTTTTATTATTTTCCCGAGTGTTTTAATATTGTCAATATATTACATTAAAAAGAGAAAATAAATCTTCTTTTTAATTACTACTCATGTAATAAAATAACTGAATATTAAATGTAGATTTTAGAGTGGGCAAAACATTTACCACAGAGTGGGCAATTGCGCGATCAACGCTCCGTGGGACAGTATCGCAGCTTTGGGCAAACCAGTTGACCCACTCGTGGGCAACATCAAAACTGGTATTTCAACGTTTACATGTGTAATTCTGTAATATACAAATAAAAATAACAGATAATATACTTACTGATTTGTATTTATTCACTTCTAATAAAAGTTTTAGACTGAATTTTGCTTTTAAAAGCGTGTTATTGATAAACGTTATTTTTTAGATTACTTAATTACTAAAATTTATATCAGTACATTAAAAAATATATAGTTAAGTAATACAATTTTACTTACCTAAACTTATCTATATTGGAACTTACATTTTCAGTAAATTTATTGATAGCATTGCAATCCGCAACAACAATCTCAGGTTTGTTAATACATTTCCCAAGTATCTCAGTAATATCTGCCACTTTCTTCTGTTCACAGAATATTATCTTCGGGCCAATTAGAGCGTTAAAGTGTGTGAATTCATCTGTACAAATAAGAGAAAAACAACAAACTATTAAAAACAATGATGTTTGTTTTTGATGTTAACCCAAAAATCTAAAATAGATCCGGGACTTTTTCGTTTTCATACTTAAATGTGGGATTATCCTGACTCATACTTAAATGGGGGACTTTTACTTTGACAATACAGAAAATAGTCTAATCTCATCTCATCTCATTTTACTTCTTACGAATATTATAAATGCGAAAGTTTAGATGTATTGATGTTTGTTAGAGTTTGTAGCCTAAACGGCTGAACGGATTTCGATAAAATTTGGTGTAGATGTAGAGGATAGTCTGAAAGAACACATAGGCTAAACATTTTTGTTCTATTTAATTCCACGCGAAGTCGCGAGCGAAAGTTAGTTACTCATAAAATATAACAAGGGAATCAGTTTTTGCAAAATAAAATTCATCTTTATAATCCACTTTGAGTCATACATTTAAATTTTATATCTACTTACAGTCGGTACTATTAGGATCGATTAATATGGGGATGGCTCCAGAGAATATTAAACCATAGTATACCGCTGCCATGTACTGGTCATTTCTTAATATCACCATGACATGTTTACCAGAATAACCTTTTGTTATCAACGCTCTTGCTATTGGTATTGCCATTTTGAGTATTTCTTCGTTACTAATATATTCATTTGTGGAGCCATTTATCTGGAAAATAAGACATAATTGAAATACTTAAAAAATCAAAATCGCAAAAATTTTTTCCAACTCTCATTTAAAAACTCGTATGTTTATAAAATTGTCCATTTAATCACAATTCTTATGTACATAATTTTACTATCTTAATTCACAATTCTCTTAAAAACGAAACTAAGAAACCAAATAATTTACACAAAAAATAATTCCCACATTACCTAGAAATAAACAGCACAGTTGACTAATTACAAGTATTAATATGTGGACAAAATATTCATATAATAAAGTACTAGCTGTTGGCCGGGACTTCGTCCATGCAATATTAAGATTAAAGCCTAAAACATGCCCGTCTATTTTAGCTACCCTTCAGTGAAAGTTCTAACGAAATTGGCCCAGTTATTTCGAAGATTAACCGGAACATACGCGACAGACAATTTTTTAAATGCTTTTTTTGTTATCAGCAATCCAAATATATCATCTTCCCGAAATCTGGAATTTCTCTTTTGATATTACAAACAGACACTCCAATTTTATTATATGTATAGACAAAGATTATAATGAACTCACCATGAAAATCCCAGATCGATTTGCGTTCATACAGTGTAGTAGTATTTCAGATAAGCTGATATTTATATCGTTCTCATGTTTAGATAATAACAATGTTTCCAAAATACCGTCAAGATATATCTGTGCTTTATTTGCTATCCCTCGAAGTACTGCGTGCGACATGCTTGATCTATTAATCAAATAAATTGTTACATACAAAACAGGAAGTCTTACAGGACTAAAGAAACGTCTTTAACGTATACCAAGGTCACTAAACACATCTCTAAAACTAACTGGCTGGATGACAGAACTTTTACTTGAAGGTAGTAAAAAAACAAAGACTATGAACTGGCCATCGATGACATGTTTTTTTTTTCTGCGATCTGTTTTAAATTCGCTAGAATATTTATAATCTGTTCATTAAACTGGAATTTAGAGGATTACAGTTATAACAATCTTTTGTTTTTAATTTGCCTCGATGATACTGATATTTGATTCACGATTCTGCTAAGTCGGTACTTACAACCTGTCAGTTTTATATGTGGACATTTTAAAATCTACATAAGGTGTGCCCCTTTGACTAAACAATCGCGAAATTTGCGATTGTCGATTGTTTCGCAGCCAATTTAATTGTTTAGCTGCACAAATAAAAATCGAGTGTGCGCATTCATATAAACTCAAATGGTGATTTAAATCGAATGGCAGGTTACCGTAAAAGTTATAGTTATTGTTAATCTTACTAATATTATAAATGCGAAAGTTTAGATAGATGGATGGATGGATGTTTGCGTTTGTAGCCTAAACGGCTGAACGGATCTCCATGAAATTTGGCACAGGTTTAGAGCATAATCTGGAAGAACACATAGGCTACTTTTTATCCCGGGAATAGTTACGGTTCCCGAGGGATTCATTAATTTAGTTTTTTAATGTTCACTCGATCATTCTGCAACGGTTCAACATATCTTATTGAAATTTGGCACAGATATAAAACAAAGTTTGGACTACGCAATAAGTGCAAAAACATACTCTCGCAGAGGTTTTATATGTTATTTTTTTACAATGGAAACATTTTAACTTGAATGTCACTAAAGTGTCAAGAAATCAAAGCGCGACTAAACAGTTCTACGATATAGTTTTAGATGTGCTCACGCTATTAATACACAATTTATTCAAGAATGGTTTTATTTAAATAATTCCATGGTAACGAATAATGTTAGTAAAAACAAAATGTTATAAATGAATAATTATAGCTTACTAATATTTTAAATGCGAATGTTTGTTGGAGTTTGTAGCCTACACGGCTGAAGGGATCTTGAGGAAATGTGGCATAAACATAGAGGTCAGTCTGGAAGAACACATAGGCTACTCGCTATTGTTTTTTTAATTTCATGCGGATGGAGTCGCGGGCGAAAGCTAGTAATAATATAAATATTCATTTGCAACATTTTGAATAATAAATATTTTTTTTATAACATAAGATGGCAAACGAGCAAGCGGCCAACTGAAAACGCCAAAACGGCGAAGCGACCGCTGCCTATATACATCCGCAATTGCAGATGCGTCGCCTACCATTATACGACGGAGGATGAGACGCACATAAAGAGTACATTTCCCCTTCCTATGCATCTCATCCACCGTCAAATCCACTTCCCCTTCCCAACCTCTCCTTATAAGAAAAGGTGGTAAAGAGAAAGGGACTTAAATTAGGCCACACGGAACACACACAACACGGAATTGCTATTTCACGCCTGTCTTCTGTGTGGTCGTGGTATTATACCGGGCGTGCCGGCCCTGCAGTGCTAAGATGTTAAAGCGGGCACTACCACTGTTAAGATATATATGAATATAACTGAATACTTGGAATAAAAATTGTAAAATCTAGTTATGTTCTTATTGTCTATGGATTTTATTTAAAACGTTTCAATGTTTATATCTTGTCAGTTAGTCAGTCAGTTTACGTCAGTTTATTAATGAGAAATTGTTCAGAGAAGTTTGTTATAATTTCTCATTTTCAATATCGATTAACAATAATAACGATAACCTAGTTTTAATTTGTTACCTATTAAAATGTTTTTATCTTGCAGGGTTATTGCCCGCCCTTTGATTTATTAAGTAAACAACAAGTAGGAAACATACTGAATTAAGTTGCATGTAAATAGATATTATAATAATCGAAGTTTCTATAAGTTTATAAGACAATTAAATCTAAAAATTTAAGTTACATTGTACTTCATATTGCTCTAAATTTATACTGATATTTTAAAGCGGAAAGATTTTTATTTTTGTACTAGCTGTTCACGTGCGGCTTTATCCGCATAGAATTATGAAAATTCTATTTTATTGTTTACATTTGCCAAATTATCAATAGCAAATGTCAAAATGACATGACATGACAAATCTTAGAAATCTTTCTTTGAATTCTTGATGTTGGCAGCACCTTATGGTCTCTTTCCTACATTAGAGTTTTTATCCAAAATATTAACCCCTAAGTTTAGTGGCGTTAAAATATATAGCCTAAAGCGTGACGTAATAGGGTTTTTTTATTAAAATAAGGATTATTAAAACATGCTGTAATTGCTGACATCTTACGCCACAAAGTGTGTGTTTACGCTTTATTATATTAGTATAGATTACACAAAGGTAAATGATTTGAAATAGTTACTTACTTTTATATCCGTATTTAAAAATCTTGATTTGTTTATTTAATAATAATAATGTCACAATTTATATTTAAATATAATAATAAAAATGTTATGCACTATCGTTTATTATGACTATCTCTGTGTGAATGAAGCTGCGTTTAAAACTGCTGTTGATAAATACCATTTATAATAAGACGTTAATAATAATGTCTTTTATACGTTACGGAGACTGCTATAATAAAAATATGTGTGCACAGAATTTAATTTCCACCCCACTTTGAATTGAAATGGGTAGGAAATAAAATATCTTGACTATCTTTACTAATATTATAAAGAGGAAAGATTTGTATTTTTGTATAAATTGAAATAACTCAAAAATTACTAGGCTAGGCTTTTTAAAATTTCTTTCACTGTTAGAAAGGTAATTTATTTGTGAGTAACATCGTACTAATAAATGCGAAAGTTTAGATGGATGGATGGATGTTTGTTAGAGTTTGTAACCTAAACGGCTGAACTAATTTCGATGAAATTTTGGTGTGGAGGATAATCTGGAAGAACACATAGGCTACTCACTTTTGAGTTTTTTTTTTATGATTTCATGCGAACGGTGTCGCTGGCGAAAGCTAATAGGTTAGTATTTTTAAATTTCACGTGGACGAAGTCGCGAGGAACAGCTTGTAAATTACAAATTTAGTTGAACTACAAATTACATGACAAATTTAATTATAGTTACAAATAACTAGTTATTTTATATGTGTCTGAATTGATCGATCCAAAAATAACAGCATTTTACATTACAGAACATATTTCATGAAATTTCTATAATAAAAGCAAATTTAAGCAAGCATTGTTGCGTCAATAAATAATGGGCATATCGACGGAGAAGGCAATGTAGCGAATACGTCCGATCCGCGCTTCGAATTTATGCTTTCCGTTGGTCCGATAGGATTGGGCCATGAAACAAGCGGGCAGAAACGTCGTTAGTCAATTGACACGTGAAATTTTTAATTTTACATCGATTTTATATACAATTTTCACTAAAGGCAAGATAGATTCCAGGTGTAAAAGTAACTGGAATGCAAGGTACTGTTACATATCACTGGCATGTCTATTTCCGTACTTAGTCATTTATATTATTTTAAATAATTTATAAGTGATTTTCTTTTACCAAAGCATTTGTAAAAACATAATGGTTATATCTGTTTTTTTTTAACATAATTATGTCTTTTATAGATAAACTCAAAAACAAATTAAAATCAGTGAATGAGTACCATTTATTCTTTAATATTCCAATCGAAGCTGGTTCTATAGACTAATACATTTTTTATAAAATAAAAAATTATGTAGACAAAATTTTATTCATTAACGACTAGCTGTTGCTCGCGACTTCGTCCGCGTGAAATTAAAAAATATAGCTTATATTATTCACAAATAAATTATCTTTCTAACGATGAAGGAATTTTTAAAATCGGCCCAGAAAGTTTTAAGCTATTTTAATACATACAAAAATACAAATCTACCTTTTAGTATTAATATAGAATATCAATTCCGCCGATTTCGTGGCTCCAACTCGATACTTTTTAACAAGACAAATCGTCATACTTTAACGATGAATATTTCTTGTACAATAGATTCATAAGAACCTCTTAGATAAGGAAGATTCGTTATTATTGTTTCCCTTGTACTCATCTGATGTCTGTTACAACTAATTTACTGCGAAAATATTCCGCTCATTTGTCACGGTCAAGAAAAAATAAATCAAAGAGAGATTTTCTTTATCTTTTCGGGACATTTACCATCAATGAGAAATGTACTTTGTCTTATTATTTAAAGCATAAAACGTCAGTAAATGTTGACATTGAGTCTTGTGCTATTGTCACGTTTGTGTGAAGACGTAGTTTAGTAGGCTTTGCTCACAAATCCTCGTAGAAGTAAAAATTAAGCCTATGTTTTCTACCAAGCTATGTTCTACGTCTTTGGCAAATTTCATCAAGGTCCAAAGGGCTGTTTTGGAGTTACATAGAAACAAATATCTATTCAAACTTCTGCATCTAATATTGGGTATGAAAATAAAACACGAAATTAAGAATTATTTTTATTATTACGTTTATTGTCCACTAGCTTTGGCATACGATGTGTTCTTCCAGACTATCCTCTACATCTATGCAAAATTTCATTGGTTTCCATTCAGTAATTGAGGCTACAAACTCTAACATCCATCCATCCATCCATCTAAAACATCTAAACTTTCGCATTTATGATATTAGTTAGATTTTATATCACATACAGGATGGAAATCTTTTTGAAAACGTAACAAAATAAAAATAGCAACATTCCATAAATTTATGCAATGTGTTTTCGATTTTACAATTTGAACAACTTCCTTTACGATACGACTTCTCCCTAAGGGGGATCGGAAATGAATTTTAAGTTCCTACGCTTCTCTAAAGTTCTACAGCGGAGAGAATATGTTACTTTTAAAATCGAAAGAACTCTTAGTATCTAAAACTTTTAATTTTATACGTGATTTAGATATTACAGTTGAGAAATTGAGAAGCAAAAAATCATGGTAAGCATATATAATAGAGATAATAGCTTTCGCCCGCGACTCCATCCGCGTCCAATTAAAAAAAACAAAAGTGAGTAGTCTATGTGTTCTTCCAGACTATCATCTACATCTGTACCAAATTTCATCGAAATCTATTCAGCCGTTTAGCCTACAAACTAACAAACATCCATCCATCCATCTATACTTTTGCATTTATAATATTAGTGAGATTAAATGTGGATGGCTACAAAGCTAGAGGACGACTGAAGAAAGTATGGTTTGTTTAAGAGGTTATAAAGGCAGTGAATTCAGAAATGACGGCTGATTGAGATCTATGAAAGATCAGCACATGTTATGCCGATCCTTAGTAGGGACAAGAGCAGATTGATAATGACGCGATTTAGATATTCTAGCCCATAAAGTATTAGAAATAGTATACGGCTGCTAATAATATTATCTTATCTGAAGTAGTTTTTGTATCTATTTTAAAGAGATTTGAGTGTCTTAGGAGGGAGCCTTCTACATTCTCTGTCCTAATTATTGTTCAATCATAAAAAGATCTATTTGATTTTGAAGTACTTGATAATTTTGACTCAAATTTAAACTATTTAAATAACGAAATAGCAACCAATCCCTAATCTATCGTTTATTTAGGACTACCTAATAATAGATTATTGAACGAAGAAAGTCCATAGAACATAACTAAAACATTAATCTGAATTCTTTCTCCAGTTAAGGATTTAACAGTAAGAAATATATAAGAAATTCGAATATAGTTAAAAGGTTGAGAATATGGAAGTGCAAATTGAGTCGAAATATATTCCTATACTAAACCAAACTGCGGTGTTCTGGTGCTCAGGTGTTTCTACATGTTATATGCACAATAATTTTATTTAACACAAGAAAAATGTCTACAAATCTTTCATGTATTCAGCACACAAAATTATATAGACTGTGTCGACTGACGTCTATGCCTTCGAGCTTGGTTTTGAATTCTTTAAATTCATGAATTTGATTTTTTTTTGGTTTAATGATTTTTTGTGGTTTGGAGACATTTTCTTGATTATTAATTTACAAGTTCTCTTCAATATAAAAAGATTAAAATTTGAATTTAACTTTCGCGACAAAATGCAGAAAAAGAACGAAAAAAACTGACAATCCTTTTACTCCCTTATTCAAAAATGTGATTACATTTTTATTTAGAAAGAAATTAACGTTTAAAATATGAAGCGATGTAGCAAACGCTTACTAGATCTAAATTTCGATTATAACTTGACTGAACTTAACAAAATCACTTATATAACTTAGTTAAAACATGTCACAAGCCACTTCATCGCTTACGCACATATTGGCTTACAAAATTAATAGTTCGGGTGTGATCGAGTTCAAAACTTCAAATCTTACTAATATTATAAATGCGAAAGTTTAGATGGATGTTTGTTAGAGTTTGTAGCCTAAACAGCATAACCGATTTCGGTGAAATTTGGTACAGATGTAGAGGATAGTCTGGAAAAACACATAGGCTACTTACTTTTGTTTTTTTTTAATTCCACGCGCATGGAGTCGCGGGCGGAAGCTAGTAATGCATAAGAAATATACCAGTCGAAGTCCTAGTAATATTTCCACACAATAATCTACTAATTGAATACTCAAATCATACTATTAACCATACAATTTAAGCTTGTTTGGAATTGTTAAAAGAAATATGAATAATTAATTTTAATTACGTACTAAATTACTATTAAAATCATTTTTGCTAGTATTATTACTTCAAAAAAATTTAACCTTACTTTGTACGTTAATTTTTTCTATTTCTCAAAGTTAATTATTTAGATTTTATTGTATATTATAACTAGATGTTCCTGTGCGGCTTCATCCGCGTGAAATTAAAAAAACAATTTATTGTTTCCATTTGTCAAATTCTTAAAACAACCTTACTATGGTAATCTTGCTTCTTAATGTTGGCAGCTCGTATCATATGGTCTCTTTCCCACATTAGAGTTTTAATCCAAAATATTTAACCCCCTAACTTTAATAGCGTGCAAATATATAGCCTAAAGCGAGACGTAAGTGTAGGGGTTTTGATTAAAAACAGAATTATTCAAAAATATGCTGTAATTGCCGAGATCTTAGGCAACAAAGAAGTGTGTGTTTACGCTTTATTATAATAGTATAGTTAATATCTATTTAAAATAAGATTGCAATCTTAGGCATTGTTTTGAATTTTAATGTGAATTATTTAATCTCAATTCTCAATTGTTTAAATCAAACGATGCATTAATAATGAATTAATAATAAATTAATAATAAATTAATAATTATTATCTCATATCAGTTGTCGGTTTAGGTTATTACGTGTCAATATTGATGTCGATATATTGGATAAATATCACATTAAATTTGATTAATATCCATATGTTATACAAAATTAAAAATATTTAACACTAGCTTTTGTATGTGATTTCTCTCGAATGAGATTAAAAAAAAAGTACAGCTAATGTTACTAACTGATAACATATCTTAATGGTGAGAGATTTTAGAAATAGGCTCAATAGTTTTTGAATTATTTAAATACATACAAAAATACAAATTTCCTCTTTATAATAATAATGTTGCTTTCATGGTGAAACAATTTTGTAAATCAGTCCAGCAGTTGTTGAGTTTTTTTGCTACATACAAAAACATAAATCTTACATCTTACATAAGTATAGATGTTGTCTATCTTAAAATGTTAACCGGTCTCGGTTAATAATTCATATTATGATTTCATACTCTCTATATAATACATTTTACAAGAATATAAAAATAAAATAAAATATATTATATAAAAAATAGAGCACCACCGGCTGCGGAATCCGATGACTCAAGCAACCAGTGGTCAGGGCTGCAGAGACAGGAACCTCCTCACTATGCGTGCGGTTTCTAAAATAACCGCCTTTTGAATCGGGCCCTTAATCCAACTGTCTAGCGAGAGCTTCTTGAGGTGTTGGTCAAAGCTCTTCGCTATCAGCCCGTGTGCCGAAACGACTATCGGAATAATGGTAGTCGATTTCATACGCCACATGGCGATAATCTCGTGAGCCAAATCCAAATATTTTAATAGTTTTTCATTTTCGGCTTTCACGAGATTCTCGTCATGTGGGATAGTGATATATTATTATTATTATTATTATTATTAAGAGAGGGGTGGATTGCGTGAAAGGTGACATGATCAAGAAGGGAGTAATGACGAAGGTGACGGGTGATAGAGTTATTTGGAGGACCAAAACCCGGTGCGCCGACCCAACGGGAGTAGCATAGGGCAGGGGAGATGATGATGACCTCCAAATAATTTCAAGTATTAATAAAACCAATACAAAACATAATTCGTTTATAAAATAAAAAAGCAAATATTCTAAGAAGATTACGCGCTTAAGTTAAAAGTTTTGGTGGAGTATAAACTTTAAACACTCACAGACAGCATTTTTAAGCACTGAAAGGACTTTAACTTTCAGTAATCCATGTCACTGAAAAGCACAACTTTCAAACTGACCTTTTACTAAAGTAAAGCTTTATGAACGGACTTTTGTAAGAAAGTAGAAAATGCAATTTTATTTTTGTGCTTGCTTTGCATATCCAGAACAAGTAACTCTGATACAATATAGTGTAAAGTTAAATGTATGTAAATCCTAGCTTTCGCCCGCGAATCCGTCCGCGCAGAATTATAAAAACACAATTGCAAGCAGCGTATGTGTTCTTCCAGACTACCCATGTATGCCAAATTTCATTGAAATCAGTTCAGCCGTTTAGGCTACAAACTCTAACAAACATTCATACATCCATCCATTCATCTAAACTTTCGCATTTATATTAGTATAATAAAAGCGTTTCTATCTGAAACTAAACGATGCCACAACTTTTTAGTCTCACTTTGATTCCCTTTGATTTAATTTGAATTTATACTGTAAGAACGCGCATACTTTTGACCAAACTATCGCACAACATTTTAGTCTCGCTTTGATTCCTTTTAGCTTTAAAAAAGGTGCGCACACGATTCGATTTTAGTTGTGCAACTAAACAGTTGAATTGGCTGCGAAACAATCGACAATCGCACAACAGTGTGCGATAGTTTAGTCAAAGATGTTCGCATTGTTTTAAGGTATAATTTTTCATGCATTAAATGCTTTAAGAATATTAATTGCGATAACGTTGGTTAAGAAAATCTAATTTGTGATTGGAAAAAAAAATAGTTTTTTCCATTACTAGAAAATAAAAATAAAACTACATAAAAATATTGCATTATGTTTATTTTGAACATAACATAAAATACCGAAATACTATACATACATTTGAGGTACGAAAAGGTTTTTTTTCTGTGAGCCAGCCAGGCGTGACTTATGCATGTAACCTTTAGTTCATTTACGTCAAGATAACATTGTTATATTAAAAATAGCTCATCACATAAAAAAAACAACTCGTGCGAAAAGATCTAAAGATAACATATTATCATTTCTTAAAAATCGCATTAGAAAAACCATTTTCTCGCAGCGTCTATCATCACTTGTAATTGTTTAGAAGAATTGAAATCGACTATCATTTGTTTTTGCAAGAATTACTTCTTCACTCAGAATACCTTAATACTGACTGTCCCCACGTGGAGACAAGGTGGGACGGATGAAACTTTTTATTCTCATCTGTATCCACGTGGGGACAGAGCGGGGTGACGGTTAGTAATAATCCTACTTATTGGTAAAGATTCAAATGACAGTAGCACAAAGCGAAGAATATAAACTCTAAGTTAGAAAGGATTTTGACCACTGAGTGATCTATTAAACATTTTATTAACTTATTAAAACATTTAATATAAGGCCCTTCGTATACAAGGTGATGTAAATTTTAGAAACTCCCTGATTTTAATCTTTATATGACTTACGCAAAACAATATCGCAGACAGGCAACAAAGGAAGCAGCTAAAGCCAGTTGCTGGCAACTGACAAGATCGACGTGAGAAAAGTTGCTCCGATTTTCAAAATGGCGGTGTTTTTAAATCCATTTGACACGAAGTCACTAGATGTTATGGCCAAATAGACGACTCAATGTGTGTACGCACGATACTCGAGACGCAGAGTTAAAAATATTATTTGCTAACCAAAGACATTAAAAAATATATATAGCCGAGGCTAGAATAAAAAAAATACCGGTACTTTCTCTGTACTACATCAGTTGCCAAGTTTAGTACGCCACCTAGTGTCTATTGACATGTAATAAAACGTTTTACAAAATTATAAAAAGCTCCATCTATTGTCAAAAAAAATAAACTAAACAACGTAACAAAACAAATAAATATAAAGATTTAAATATTATTTAATAACATTTTTGGCAATTAATTTAAATACAATTAATTATTTTGACATATATAATTTTGAGGGTATCAATAGATAGCGTTACTGAAAATGTGTGAAATGTCTCATATGAAGTGTCAACTATGCATCCTCTATATATATTTTTTCTCTTTCTTTCTAACATTTACATCGCCTTGTATATGAAAAAGCTAATCTGTAACATCAATAAAATTTAAATCTTTATCATAATGAGATGATATGAATGCTGGATGATAAATGTCAAACATTATAACCGTGAATTCATTGCAGAAACACTAGTACATATCGTTGTCTCTTTTCTCTCAAGGTGAATGACAAGGATGACTATAGGTTGCACTAGTGCTTCCGCAGTAAAAGTTATTTTATAACGTTATATTTGATATTCCGTATAATTCCAGTTCCATGTTTTGTTGACGCTGTTATCGCCGCTTTGGTTCATTGGTTTTTGTGGTTCCTGAAAGTAAAATAAATCATAGAAATAAACTAATAACTAAGAGCGGGCGCACACCTTTGACTAAACTACAACAGTTGTGCGATTGTCGATTGTTTCGCAGCCAATTCAACTATTTAGTTGCACAACTAAAAATCGAGTAGTGTGCGCTCCTCCATAGAGCATAGGAATCAAAGCGAGTCTAAACAGTTGTGCGATCGCTTAACCAAAGGTGTGCGCGGATGGACTGTGCTTTGAAGTTTAATAGGCGATTTTCAACTTCACCTAACTCTTAAATATGAGTTTAGCAGATTAACAAAAGAAACGAAGGCTATTTTTCTGTATATTCTAAAATTTCAGTCATATAACAATTTGGGATCTATCTTTATGTGCTATCTTAGAGGGTTTTTTAATTTCAATTCCTTTAAATAGACATTGTTAATAACACTCCAAGTACAAATGTAAAGATTTCCGGCCTTACCTTAAGCTCTTGTCCGATTACTGTAACCATATCTTGTTCGATCTGTGGACCAAGATTAATCGGTTCATATTCATCTGACACGCCGCTGTCCGGTGAATCTGGTATTGGCGTAGCGTTCATGTAGCCTTTCGGTCCGGCACGACTTTTGTGGATACAGTAGTCGCCGGTGAAGGGATTCTGGTACGCCACCACAGTTCTATAGAAAATGAATGAATCAATATTACATCTAATTTTTATCAACTAATTTATAATTTACTAGGTGTTTCCCGAAACTCCGTCCAAGTGGAATTAAAAAAAGATAACCTATGTGTTCTTCCAGACTAACCTCTCTATCTATATCAAACTTCATATCGATTCATTTAACTGTTAAGGCTACAAACCTTATCAAACATCCATCCATCTAAACTTTCGCATTTATAATATTAGTAAGATTTTACAAACCGTAATTCTTCAGTAGATTCTCCTTCTTTCTTATGAGAAAATAATACCCTTGTTGGTTTCAATAAAATTGCCACCTAAAATAATCAAAATTTTATTATAGTTGAAATAAAGAAATCTTATTTAATTCAATAAAATAAAAATCAGAATAATTTAAAAATGGAACCTTATGTACGTCTTTGTCCGATAACTTCAAGTTATACGTTTTGAACGATAAGTTTAGTTTTAATTTGTTGAAACTTATTTCAAGCTAACACTAATAAATTATAAAAAAATAACTGGAATCTAGCAGCCTAGTATTTATCGTGTAACATTTTGAAATTCATAAAAAAAAGTACTGGTTTATTAAGACATTGAAATCTCGATAATCCGTAGCCATTGCACATTCAGAGACTGACATTTAGATTTCCAACTCCATATATCATTTGGGATCACTGGGGTATTTTTTTCCACATTTATCATATATGGTAATTTTTATTTCATTTCTTTGTAAATATGTATCACAAACCTGTCCGTTTTGTTGTAGCCGATGAACTCGATACACAGAGTAACCACACGTGAACAAAATCAGAGCTAGCTGTAACCAAATAAAGCGTTATTTACTGAGTATATTATAGATATTCTACGTATAATTAGAAGTACAAAAGTAAGCCTATATGTTCTTCGAGACTATCCTCTACATCTATGCCAAATTTCATCGAGGTTCTTTAAGCAGTTTCGGCTACAAACTCTAACAAACATCTATCTAAACTTTCGTATTTATAATATTAGGCAGATTTTAATGAGGGATAGTTTACTGTTGGGATATACTACTGGAAAAAAGCTAAGAATTTTTTCACCAATGGCAAATTTAAAAGGTTTTTATTTATCAATCTATTGACAAGAAAATCTAGTATGAGTGATATCACTTTCTGTTAAGAAAATACTTACCAAGATAATAAGAAGGAGGATGTCTATGTAAATGATGATCATTATAACTTAACAATCACTTCACCATTCGTTGAACTTAATTGTTTACCACGTATCAAACAGAAGCTTGTGTTATGAAACTTTCCCGAGTTTTGTAACGATACTAAAAATACTAACTTTTGATTCGCTAATAAAATTTAAATTTCAGTCTCTGATTGGTCGAAAATAATTTTTATTGTTTTGTGATTGGTCGATATGTTTTCGTTGGTAAAATCGACCAATGAGATAGCCCTGAAGACTTCAGATTTGGATCTTGCAGCAACCGTATCATAGATTATGTACTGCAGATGTAAAAATAATAAACGTAATTATTTTGACACTCAATTTCATTTAGATGTAATGCAATGCGTTGCGAAAAAGGTATTTTTTATTAAATAAAAAGAAACTAAAATATATAATTAAGAATAAAAAAATTCAAACTATTAATAGCGTACCTTTCTTAGTTCCCTAATATTTATACAGCTAGACGTAACTGTCACTCTCGGAGTATTTAAATGGTCACTAAAGGAGTCCCTTCATATTTATTTAGTGTTGTGTGTGTTGAAGTTATAGGCATAAAGTAATATTGAACTGTCTGCATATAGCTTTATCTTTGATAATTCTTTGGTAAGTTGGCGCCATGGGTGTCGCGCCGTCTGTCTCCCCGGCTCCAGCATCTCGGTCTATATTTCAATCCATAAACAGAATCGTGGTCAAAAACTATGCAGCTTTTTCAGATACGAATATATTTGCATTTAATTAAGTTTCCAATGAAACGTTAATTAGTGCTGCGTCATTTTATGCAAATTGTTGGAAAATAGAGAATGTGGAAAAATATAAACAATTTAGTTTTCTCTGGAAAGCGTTTAAAATACAAATTATGTGCTTTAGCGGTCAATATACCATAGGTTTCCTTAATTACAAAAAAAAGATTTGGCGTCCCTTTCATTCTTCGAAGACATCCGCACAAACATCATTCGTACATTCAAATGGTTTCTAGAATGTTCTGTCACGACGCCATCTATTGGCGATTAGTGGAAACGACATCCGCATGTATTCATAATAGGTACTCAATCGGATTCTAGAATGTTCTTTCGCGAATATATTTCTGTACAGGTGTCAGGAAACTCTGTTAATTTGAGCTCGCCCTTCTAAATTCATTTTGACGTACCATCCCCAATTAGTTGACAACAATGATGTTTTAACGAACTTCCTTGTTCGGGCAAAAGGTAGAATCTTACTCGTGCAATTATCGCGGCCCATTTTCACAGTAGCTTTATAATGAATATTTAATGAGTAATTTAAATTATACTCGCTTCATACCGTATTGTTTTCATTTCTTATTTGCTCAAGTAAAATGTAATTAATTTATTAATTACTAGCTGCTGCCCGCAACTTCGTCGGCATGGAATTAAAAAAAAACTAAAATATATGTTACTCACTGATAACGTAGCTTTTTAATGGTGTAAATTTTTTTGAAAAAAATACAAATCTTTCCTCTTTATAATATTAGTATAGAAGTATAGACTGGCTGTTGCTTACGACTTCGTGATCGTAAAGGGTAAAAAAAAAATAGCCTGTGTTACTCCTTGATATTGGAACATCTAAATTATGAAAGAATTTTTGCTATCGGCCAAGTAGTTTTTGAGTTATTTCAATACATACAAAAAATACAAATATTTCCTAATTACATATAAAAAATATATACGGCCAAATATTGAAATGAATCCTAATTAAGTCGTAAGCGCCGCTTATCTGACAGATGTCAAAAAGTTTAAGCATAGCCTTATCATTTTACGCTGTTTCATATTTAAATTACGTTTCAGTATCCGGCCGTAAGTCGCGTCTAATTTTTTTAGCACCGACTTTGGACCCGTCTAGAGTCCATCTTCAAGACGAGTCTTAATCGGAGCTTATCCAAGCTAGGGGTGACTAGACCATAGTCAACCACGCTAACCCACTGCAGGGTAACATCACACGTTTTTTGAATTTCTTCGACGACATGGATTATTCGCAACCGATACCCCGGTCTTACCCGGCGTGGGGACAGATGAGATATTTTCATCCGTCCCACCTTTTAGTCTCACTATCACCAACCAGGGGACAGATAGAATCGTTAAGAAATAAAATAAGTTCCAATCGTCCCCTCGTCACAAAAGGTGGGACGGATGAAACATATTATTATTATCTGTCCCCACATTAGGACAGATTGGGGTGACGGTTGGGAATCATCCCGATATATGCAGGTTGTATCACAATGTTTTTCTTCCGTAAGAAAGTCAGTTAAGATGTGTTTATGTCGACCTTTTAACAACAGTGGAGGGGGACAGTGACATTATTTAACATTTATTTCTCATATAAATGGTTGATTAATATGAAACTATTATACCCGTTAATAGTTAACTACTGAACACGATCACAGAAATGAATACAAATTCTTTTGAATTAAACTACACTGAATAATTGGCAATGAAATTGAATTCATTGAGAACTGGACTCGAGCGGGATATTGTTCCGATCGCACGAGTAGGGTTGCCTGCTGTTAGAAAATTGTAAAAACTTTTTATTCAACCCAAGATTCGAATGTTTAACATTTACTATCTTTAGGAACTGCTATATTAAAAACTTATAATTGAAAAAAAGTTACAGTCAGCACAAGCGATCGAAGATCTTCAGTTTAATTATCCTTATAATAAATGAAACAAAATTAATAAAATATACAGCTATTTCAACTGGCAACCCTGCTATATCATTGCCTTTTAAATTACATATCTAGAAACTACAGATTTGATTACTTAGGGTCACTAAAAATGACTTTAAGGTAAATTTAACATACATTTCAGCTTTTATTCCTACGATAAATCTAACTTAAATTCTTTGTAAACAATAAATAATAAATTTGTGCGAGATTTCAAACCTTTATCACAATAAAATAACCATATGTTTAATTAGATTAGTAACATAACAAATTTTAATCTATACAAGAAAATAATTAGATAAAATTCAAAATATTGAAATAGAGTGACAACCCTGAGTCAATAGTGCAATAAGCTTGATGAAGTAATGTTTGGAAACTTTTCAATGGCTATAATAAGTTTTAATGTTTAATCAAGTCTTTATTCTATTTACTTAATGATTTATAACAAGAATAAATTAAAAAACGCTTCGTTACGTAACCCGTATGTTAACTTCATAATTATATAAGATATTGAATAAATATTAAAAATCTAATCCAACAGTGGGATTAAGAACCTTAGCAACTGATTTCTTAATATTTTTATTCCACTTTTTCTCTATACTTTAGATTTTTTACGAGAGATAATAATTACGAAAATAAGGGCCTGTCCTACCACTGGCTGACTCTACTTAAAAATGACGTCACTGTCAGATAAGGTAACAAAATCCGATATTTCTCTCTATACATGTTGATTGTTATCAGACAATTTACAAATTGACAGGACAGTCCGTAAACCTTATAATTTGTCTAAAAAAAATATTTAAAAGTATAATCTTAATTATATCGTGTTGATATTTTCATAAATCTTAATCTAATACTTACAAAGCGTACAATTATAATATTAAAACGATTTGGAATTTAATAAACAACACAAGAATATATTTGGATATAATTCCATCCAGTAAATAAAAGCCTTTCTCCGACCTTTTCAATATAATTAAGACGGCCGACCAACAGAACAATAGCTTTCAAACAATTCAGGTCAATTCGTTCTATAAACGGAAATAAATATCGTATTAGATATTTCTATCCAATAGACTTCTGACAGAACAAACTTCGGACACAATCCAGCAGATTATGCCTCTTAAGCCACAACACACATTCAGTTTTATCTGACAGTTTTATTAGTCGGATCGTTCAGATAAATCTAACGTGTATACTCAAAATTGAAGATGCTGTCGAATGTGATCTTAGAAATGTCTGTATCAAGGACTGGAAACAAAAAGCCCAAGATAGACTGATATGGAGAAATTTACTGGACCAGGCCCAGTGCCACCTGAATCCACCGAAATAGAAAGAGACCTCTGCCCATAAACATCTGCAATTGCAGATGCGTTGCCTTAATTGACGCAGGATGAAACGTACATAAACAGACATTTTCCCTTCCTATACGTGTCTTCCAGCGTCAAATCCACTTTTCCTTCCCATTCTTTCCTCTTAAGAAAATGTTAGAAAGGGTAAGTGACTAAAATTCGATAAAACTGACCGTGTGTAGCTGGCATTACCGTCAAAATAATATATTAATGTATTAACGATATAAATGGACGATATTCCTCGTCCAAGTGCACTTTATTTTCATTATTTCAATATCTATACTATTATAATAAAGCGTAAACACACACTTATTTGTTGCCTAAGATGTCAGCAATCACAGCAAATTTTTGAAAAATTCTTATTTTAATAAAACGACCTACACTTACGTCAAGTTTTAGGCTATATATATATTTACACGCTGTTAAACTTAGGGGTAAATATTTTGGATAAAAACCCTAATGTGAGAAAGAGACCATAAGTTGTTGCCATCATCAAAGAAGCAAGGTTGCCATGGTTTGACATGTCATGTCATTCTGACATTTGCAATTGATAATTTGACAAATGTGAACAATAAAATGAAATTTTTATAATTTTATGCGGATGAAGTCGCATGGGAACAGCTAGTTCGTAATAAACTCTAATTCAATGACTGTAACTAAATTCCAATAGTTACATTGAATCGACACCGAATCGAGTATTGAATTTTCATTTGTAAATGTGCGGCGAGAATAGCGGTTTTATAGGCGGATGTATTGCAGTAAATGCTGTATTGCATGGTATTTATTAGACGGGATATTGTTTCTGTTTAGTTGTATAACAAAATTTAATTAGTAAATCTACGTAATAGTTTAGTTAACAGTGGTAGTGCCCGCTTTAACATCTTCGCACGAATGGGCCGGGTCGCCCGGTGTAATACCACAACCACACAGAAGACAGGCGTGAAGTGGAAGCAATTCCACGTTTCGTCTGATGATTGTGG